AACACCATTCCAGTCTGATCAAGAAGATAAGCCCAGTCCCCTTTCTGAGGACAAGACCAAGGTGTGAGCTACAAGACTTCTGCCGTGGTGTGGTAAAAATACCTTTCTGAGGAGGTAAGATAAAAAGGAACTCATGTCAGAGAGAACGATGTGTTAGCGACTGAGGAGGATGCAAAGTTAGAGGGTAAAAATGCATAACTGCCCCTGCTCAGGGGAAACACAGGGGGTAGGTACATTGTTAGAACCTGTGGGACTAATGGTTCATATAACGGGCATGCTACAGTACAGGTGACAGGAACATTGCAGAGCAGGCAAGAGCTGTGGGATTGATGGCTTACAGCGCAGGCATGCTACAGCAGCCAAGGAAATACGTACAGAATGAGGAGAAAGCGTACGAACTATATTATACATTTTCTCCAGGAAACTCACAAGTCTGTAGTAGTGTAGTGAACACATGGCTTTAAAATATATAAACATGTATATTACATGTACACAGTGTATGCACATACAACACACACACACAGTACTGTAACAAGTACGGTTTTTCTGCCCGCCACCTGCTCTTGTTCCGCCACCAAGCCAGCCCCAAATAACACACTGAGACTCTGTATTTGATATTATACTGTTGGCCAGGTACTAGTTTCTTATCGGCTAGCTCTGTCTTAATTATTAACCCATTTCTGCTGATCTATGTATTTCTCTTACCGGGGAGCCGGCGGCATACTGCTTTCTCCAGACTCTCCATCTTGACTCCTCCTTACTACTTCCTATTTCCTCCTTGTCTCCTAGTCCCTTCTATCTTCCTCTCCTATTGGCCAACAGTGCTTTATTATTAACCAGTATGAGAAACATATACAGAATGACATCTCCCATCACAGTACTTGGATAGAAAGAGAAGGCTTATATCATGAACCTTCTAGAAGCAATAAGGTAACATCAGCTGTTACCATTTGAGCTATTTTTGTCTTTTTCTATATACAGGCTTAAAACTGTTATTTCAGATATCTCTCACAGATTTCAGGGAGGGCCACACGACACACCACTGAGAAAGATTTCAAAGGCTGGGAAGGAGATCAGGAAGAAAATCACATGTATAGTAGTTTCAAGAGAAAACTAAAATACCAAGGCATAGATATAACCAAGGGGGAACGAACTCTAATATGGAAACTGAAAGATGAAGGAAGAGGGGAAGAGGGCGCTGGAGGATGCAGACGACTCCCGCGGCCAAGGATCAGCAGAACTAATATTGTTTAAATGGCTTTGTTACTGATAGTGAAAGTGAGTTATGGTTTGAATGCAACCTTGATGAAAACTGTAGTGACACTCTTCTCAGTACTAGGGGAAAATGCTCAAATTATATACAAGTATGGATCATTCCAAATAGCTCAAACAATACTGAGCAAAAGAAGGAACACTGGAGATAAAACAAGACCTTATTGAAACTGTTCCACAGAACCATAGTAACAAAGCCAGCACAGTCTGGCCACCAAAACAGATATGTACGATTGTGGAAGAGAATGTAACACCTAACAATAAGTCTATGCAGGGACAAGCAGTTTGCTTTCAATAAAAATATCAAAAGCATACAATGGAAGACAAAAACAACCCTTTCAAACCTTGTGCTGAGAAAACATGGATAGTCACATTCACAAGAATGAGGTTAGATTCCCCATCTCTCACTCTGTACAAAACGATCCAAATGGAACAAAATGTAAGACCCAATGCTTCGAAACTGTCATGGGAAATCATTTCAAGACAGATTCTCAGAGACTGTCTGAAAAAGGATCCCGAACAGTCCATAAAGTAGTGAGTATTGGGACTGCATGAAACAGAAGTATTTCTGTTCAGCACAGAAAACAATTAACAGAGTGGTAATACAGAAGACAAAATGAGAAAGTCCTCAATAGCTATTTATTTAACAAGGGATTAAAATGTAGCATATATAAAGAACTCAACAAATTAATCCTCAAAAGTAAATGAACAGATAGATGAACCAGACAGCTCTCAAGCGAGAGAGGAAGATACATGCTCAAAATATTTTTTAAGGTTCTTCTTAGAGAGTTCATCTCAGTCAGAATGCCGATAATTCAGGAATCAAAGAACCGACACTGGCAAGAATATGAAGAAAGAGCATTTAGTCTTTGCTGGTTGGGATATAATATAATCAACCCATTTATGCAAACAGGAATGGAAATTCCTCATGAAGTTGAAATTGGTACAACTCTCCTGGTACACTCTTGAAGTACTCTGTGTCTGAATACCATAGAGATGCACGGTGGCCACGCAGTATAGAGATGCACGAGCATCCCATCCATTATAGCGCTAATCATACTAGTCAGAACATGGAACTAATTTAAATGCCAATCAACAGAGGAACATCAAAAGAACATGTGAGACCTAAACACAATGAGGGCCTCCAAGCCCACAGAAGACAGGTTTATATTATCATCAGGAAAATGCGTAAAAGCTAACTCTTTGTGTTAAACAAAATAAGTCAGACTTAGAAAGAGAAATAACACATTTCCCCTGTCTCAAATATTGTATAGATATGATAGATAAGATAGATGGACATACAGATGAGTTAAAGTTGAATAAATTGGTGATGATAGATGGTACAGCTAGATACTTAAATGATAAAGATATGTAGGTATGGCTGTAAATATAGAGATAGGTGGGAAAAGGCTATTTGGAGAAAGGATGACTGACAGGGAAGAGGGAAGGGGGAAGGAAGCTTATGATGTGTGATTATTTAACAATGTACAAAAGCTTACATGTATGGAAACATCAAAATGAAATACATAATTTTATACATTATTGTTCAAGGTTAAAATTAAAAATACTAAGTCAAAATAGATGTAACTGATGAAAATTGGCACCGTAGCATGGAAGACAGATGCTTATTTCAAGTGCTCACATTACTACAATCCTGCTAGAGAACAGAATTCCAGAGTTACAGAGTAGAGTGTCAGGAACACCATTTCATGGGCTACAACGAGCTCTCTCTAATGGTTAGTCAGCTAGATGTGCTAATTTAAAAATTATGCGTGGGTCAAACATTTAATTTCTGCATTCAAGAGGAAAAGATGGGCAGATCTCTGTGAATACAAGGCCATACTGGTCTATGTAGAGTGTTTCAAGCCAATCAGGGGTAGGTAATGAGTCCCTGTCTCAAACAAACAATAAATAAATAAACTATATGTGGACTGAGATTGGAGATCTGTGGGAGAATATTTGCCTAGGTTGCGCAAGGCCCTGGGTTCAATCTGTACCTTCCTACACAAAGCATGCTACTTTCCTTTGATAGAGGAAAAGTATCTCGTGACTGATAGGCTTGATTTTCTTGTATATGCTACACCATGGTATGCAATTCAGGACTAAGAACAATATTATCTGCTAGGGGCCTGCATAGAGATTGTGCCCTGAGCACACATAAAACACAATTTCTGCCACTATTAAAAAGATGAATAACACAGATGAAACATAAACATTACACAAGCTTTTAATGCTAATCTCTAAAACAGAGTGCTGCATATTACGTTAGCCTAGATTTATTGAAATTCATCTTAAACAATTGGATTTTTTTATTATTGGGTTTTGAAAAAATAAGCAATCTGAAAACTGCTTGCTTAAATCCTCCTTACTCTATTCTGCGATACACCAAGATAGATAATAAATATTTATTAATTTCAATGACAGGAAATACATTTAATCCTAAAAAAAAATCAATAAAAGCAACCCGTAGTAATTTCCTCAGTATATTCAAGGTCATAAAGAGCCTACTTGTAATAATTCACTTAAGCAATATAGTTTGAGTTGGAGACAAAAGTCACATGCTCACATAATTGAGGGAGACTTGGCTGGAAGTCATTTGTTTTAGATGACATTCGCTTCCACCCCAGGACACGGCGCTAGAGGAAGGCCACGCCTTGCTCCTCAGTGTGAGATTGTGTGAGGAGTGTGCCTTTGGTCATTTCAAGAAATTTTCTGAATGCCTTTTCTGATGAACACAGAACAGGACATTTCCATTTGTTTGTATTGTTTGAGACAATATCGTGAGATTACATAAACTACTAAACCTTACATGCCCACAATCGCAAGTAGCAGTGCTAGAATAAGAATAGTAAAAAATAAACAGGACTTAGGCTCATCTGTAGCACATCACAGTGCTCACGCCATGTCCCTGTTGCTCAAGTAGTCTTCGATCTTACCCGTACAGCCTTGCGTGTCTAGGTCAGGCTGCTGTTCATGACATGTATCCTAACTGCACTTGATTAGGGAGGCTGCGGTTCCAAGGTTCAAAGGACCTGTTTGAAACACAGGTCCTTTCTCCCACAAGCCTTTCACATTCTCTGTGTTTATTTACACACAGAGCCTACCAAGTTGTTTCTGTAGTGACCAAAACAAAGTGGGAAGTCAGAGTTTCTGATGACAGTAGTTAGCTGTTGGGAAATTTGTTGAGACAACGCTCAGATCATTTAGTTACTCTGAAACATGGAGGCACATTAAAATTCCTAAAAATACAATTTTTTTTTTAAAAAAAAGTGAATGGAAGCCAATACAAAATTATCTAATTGGCAAGCTGTGTGGTGAGGTCCTTTGTGTCAGACTATTTTACATACTGTGAAATAATTCTCATAGGCCGAATGTTATATATGTAACTTAAATGTGCATGTTTTTATGGGGACGTAGCTTATGATTCCAAATAAGGTTCATATCTGTGCTGTTTATGATAATATAATACAAGTATGTTTTATAATTACTAAAAATTTATTTTTCTGTTTTTGTTGCTGCAATGTCAATTGTAATTTCCTGCTTTTGAATCAAGTTCTTTGATAATAAAACATTGTTTTCTGATGGGCTTCCCTGCGTGGCCATAGGGACAGCAGACTGAGCTGTTCTCTGCTGAGAGCTGCCTAATCATTCCGTGAATTTGCTGTCCTGCGTGGGTCCAGCATCTTGAGTATACACAATGGAGCTTAAAGACGATACTTTAGTAGTCATCACTGCTGACACACATGGATAAAATGTACCTTGATTTTTGTCCTCGAATCTGGAAACTTGGAAGTAATTGTCCTGGGTGGATGCAACATCTGTGTTGGATTTGATGGGCTGAGACTCAAAGGAGGAGGCTGATCACGGAAAACTGATGTCAAGCAGAGCTGGACAGTCTCTTTCATGGCTTTCATCTGTGATTCCTGAGAGAGAGGGAAGAATTCATATTTTTACCTGCGGCTCTTGAACACCATTCCCCATATTGGTCTTATCCTACATTCACTCGATATCAACTACAGACAGATTTCCAAATGGAACTTCTTGTTCTGTTTCAATGTGGTGTCTACAGTAGGTGCTCTACTTGGACACCTTGTGCCCAGCTGATGGCACAGTTGAGGTTGTGGAACCTAGGCTGGGGGAATGGAACACTGGGAGACAGGGCCTAAAGAGGAAATAGGATGTGCATACTTCTGACCTGATTGTCGATCTCCGATTAGACTCCTGCTCTCTGATCTCTTGCTTCTCCAACCTTGCATTTACTTTCTCTCTTCCCACCTCCTTCATCTCTTTCTGCTATCTGATCTGGTAAGATTTGATCAGGTATCCCTAGCTACCACCACTGCCTCTGACAGCCATTCCTGCTACCATGTACTCTCTCCCAGGATGACCACGGATGTCTCCGGCATTGCTATGAGCTAAGAATGTGGTCCAATGCATTTGTATACATGATGTTATTTCACATTGTCAATAGTATGGATACTCATGAAACCTCTCAAACCATAAGACAGACTAAATCCTTCTCTCTTTTTAATCTATTTTTTTTCACCATATATTTGGTTGCGTTGTTGAGAAAAATAACTAACTCGGGAAACTGAAGCCAAGATATAGGTCTCTTGCCATTACAGACCTGATCATGTCATCCGTAAGTCTTTGGAACTGGCTTACAAGGATATATGAAACAGTTGGAAGCTTTAGGTAAGATAATTGGAAGAAACCAGATGCAATATTTAGTAGGTGATTCTGGTGGGGGTACGGAGGAGCAGTATCCTATCAGAGGAAACTGAACCTTAGCTCAGGAGGCCTCAGAGGGCAAGAAGAGTTATATAAGACCTTGACTGAGAGGTCACAGATGCTACATTCTGGCAATTGTTCTGCCTGAATTCTGCTTCTACAATGAAATGTGCACATGGATGGATAACTGGTTTGATGGAAAACATTTCAAGAAGGTGTACTGTCAGGCTGTGGGAGGGTTGCTGTTCATTGCGTTTAGTGAGGTTTAGAATAGGGCTTCAAAGCAGGAAGTGCAGTGGGAAAATGCATGTGAGTGTGGTTAAGGTGGCAGGCATGTGGCAGATACCAATAAACTGCATACAGCTATTAAAAATTCTGACACTGTTACGGTGAAATTACACAGTCTACAGGGAACAATAGGAAGGGACATTTAGGTTAAGCCCTTACTCTAGAAGGTTCTAGGGGAGACAGTGTAAAGCCATTTGAAAAGAGAATGCTTGTACATAGGAAACGTCCAGGGTATCTTTTTTGACAGTCTTAGGGCTTCAGGCAGTTAAGAGTGTATTCTGTTCCTATAGAGGACTGGAGCTTGGCCACCAGAATCAGAGCATCCAACAGTCTTCTGTCCTTTGGTAGCATGGTACTTATATATAAGATATATAAGATACCATGACCCACTACACCCATACATATAATTTGAAAATAAAAATAAATCTTAAGTTGAAAGATGATCATTGGCCTCTAGACTTCTGATTATTGTTAGGCATATTAAAGATTATGTGGTTTTTGATGTTGGACTGACTGAATTATTATCATGAGATGGCTATGAATATCAAGATATAAGTCTATGATACTGAAAACCTGTAGAAAGCAACACCATTTCCTGGTTACATGCATTTTTTTCTTTCTTACTGTTCACACACACCATACACCTCACAGATGAGTCTTTGAGAGATTGCAGTGTCTTTCCAGTTGGCAAATAAATCTCTAAGTCAGAGAAATAACTCAACTCAGTTGCTAGAAGTAATGAACAGCCATGAAGTGGTGATTTTAAAGTAATTATGTTTTGGTATATTGTGAAAGACAGTGCACATATTTCAATTTTACTTTAAATTCCGTGTCAAATATATGCACTCAGAGGCCCTTTACCTCATCAGGAAATCTTCAGGTTATTATAGTCAACATTCTGTCTCTAACCATTCAAGGGGTGTCAGAGTGATTTGTACTCTGCTTCAAGCTGTTCTTAACATGTTCCTTCCTGGGTTTCATCCTTGGGACTGCAGCCTGAACTGGACCTCTGCTCTTACATTTTGGTAGAGTTCTTTGTTGACAGTCTAGACAGATGCTACCAGAGATCCCTGGTCTGAGATTTGTCACCAGAATTAGTGCCATTGTTTTTCTATCACCCTAACAGAATGCCTCTCATTGAACAAGCCTGTTTCTTTTGCTGCCAGTGTTGTGTTCACATAGGTTCAGGGACAGACTCCAGACAATGATCTGATAGCACAGGACATTACATCATCATGATGCTTCCAGGGCTGTCTATACTGAGGCTTCAAGCAGTTTGATGTTGACTATAAGTGATGTCCCTTACTGAAGTATGTGGTAATGCATGTCGCTTGCTTTCCTCTGAATCTAAAGAGCTATTCTTTTCTCAGATAACTCTTGACTTTCCCTTTCCCTTCTTTCTCCAAACGACTTCTCCCATTCGTTTGGCCCTCTACTCTTGAAGTTAAAGAATCTGTAGCTAAAATGCCTCATCTTTCACTTTACTCCAATTATAGCTGAATGAATAATTAATTTTCTGGGAACTCAGAATTGATGCATAGAGTTGGAATTCCTTTGGTTACTTTTCATAAGGAAAATTGGCATTAGAAATAACATTCATTAGAAATAACACCGAGAACAAAGTTAGAACGTGAAGATGTTCCCACAGTCTTCTGTGATGGTTAAGGTTAAGGTTAAGGATGAGGTATAGGACATCAAGGTAAACATGCATAAGGTATGAAAACGTCTCCCATAAAAAAGCATCAGGGAGGAGTGAAAAGCAGTATCTTTAATCAGTAATTTTTCCCACTATAGATTGAGATACAACCTTTCCACCTGAGTTTAGAGCTACAGTTTTTAAATCTCACATGCATCTTGCTTGATATTTGTTAAAACCAACCTCTAATAATGTGCAATTTTTTTATAGTTGTATGTACCAAAAAAACGAGGTGACAGAATTATAAAGGTTAAAGATAAATACTCATCACAAAAAGGCAATCTCATCTCATTCACTAGTGCGTAAGCTTTCCGTGTATTTTCCACATGACAGGCAATATTCCCATCAGTCTAGGTATGCATATAACAACTCAAATCACTCCTAAGGTTTATATGGTATGGCTGACTGCTATGAAGCATAGCACTGGGAGGATTTGAACATGGCCAGTCAACAAAGGATCACTCAAACACAGGAGAACTCACCCTGGAGGATAGCTAGCCATGACTCCCAGACGAATATGTGCCATGGCAGGGTATAGAGTCAATGCACGTGGTGCATAGGAGTGACACATAGTAGGACATCACACAGAGCTAAAGGTGAAGGGCCAGCTCTGCATTCGCCCCCTCATTCTTTGTCACGGGACTATTTCTAACCAGTAGAGTGTTATCCAGAAGTACTTGTGATGCATAGATTCATTTTCTATTATTCTCTTGTCTTGTGGGTCAGAAAGAATTATTTCTTGATTGGTCCATTTCATTTGACATCGACATCAGAACAAAGATCACATTTCATACATTTTCTGATTCCTGTCATGTCCAAAGAATAGCATCTCACAATAGCTATTTTCATACCTAATATCCATTGATCAATTAAATAATTATATCGTGTCAGATCGGGGAGAATATTTTAGATAGAATAATTCAATGGCCAGACATGATAGTCTTAGAAGTTGGGATATTACTGCAGGTCCTTGAAGATTTGATGTCTTCTTAGTATACAATAAACTTTTTCAGAGACAGTGGCAGCAAAGACAAAGAATAATTTTTAAATGGAATCTAGGAAAATTTAAGATTGTATGTTTCCCTTGGTTTTCTAATTCCACTAATTCTACAAAAGTCCCATGTCTTTTGTATAAAGCAACAGAGCATGAGTGGTATGAGATGAGGGGACCATCACTGGAAAACCTTGAAATTAAATTTTTTATAAAACTAATTCTGGTGAAATGAGTTATGCCTGATCTACTCCGAAGACTAGAAGTCAGGCTGCCCTGAACTATTAAATGTTAATAACTTGGATATGTTAATAAATGGTAATTCCAAAGGACCAAGGATGGTGAGATATCTACTTCTCTGAATATTTAATTTGTCCCAGAGCTCTAGATCTTACAGAGGAACATCATTAACAGTCAGATATGTCCTTCCTAATTTCTATATTGTGACACAGCCTACACACTCCTACATAGCCTCTCTCCTGTCTGTTCCACAGCAAAATATCCACAATTCATGTTGGGTAATTAGGAGGCAAGCTTCTTTCTTTACAAATTCTCTGGGTTCATATAATAAATTATTGAAGAAAATAAGTTCACAAATGCACTGGTGTTCCTGTTCAAGTTTACCAATAAAATTATTACTAAACTGTGGTCACAAGCATAGAAAGTCCTTGACAGAAGGCGGAACACTCTAAGTTTAGCCAGCTGATTTTGAGAACTACAAGTCTGACAGGAGATGTCATTCTGTAAATATGTTTCTCATATTGGTTAATGAATAAAACACTGTTGGCCAATAGGAAAGCAAGATAGGTGGGACTAGGAGACAAGGAGGAGAGAGGAAGAAGTAGGGAGGAGATTCAAGATGTAGGACCAAGAGAACAGGGGTCCCAATTCTTTCTCTGATAAGACCACGTAGAAATATTTAGATTGGTAGAAATGGGTTAATATTTAAGACAGAGCTAGCCAATAAGAAATGCTAGTAACAGGCTAACAGCGTTCTATCTAATACTGAGTCTCGTGTGTTATTTGGGACTGGTGTGGCTCTGGGACCAGGCCGGCTGAAAAACCTGCTCATAACACAAGGCTATGCAGACAATAATATTATGCATGAGGTTAGCAGCAGTCTGAATTGAATGTGGAAAGATGTCTTCATAACCACTTAATATAGCTGTATTGTGCATAAAGTACAGACAGGTACATGTTTATAATGCAAATAAATATGCAGGCATCATGTGCCTAATATTTATATCTGCATATATACTGCATGCATAGCATACTTGCAATGTTTATATACACACTACTACTACAGACTATTACTTTGCATTTATTCAATGAGTCGAGGGTGAAATGTGGTACATGCAAGTGTTCTTTGCAGCAATCTTAGAAAATCATTAAATCCAAAATTTTTAATATTTGTTTTTTTCTTGTTCTACCACCATAAATACTTTAAATATTTGTCATATGTTTGAAGAGTTATTATTTATGAACAAAAATATATTTTATTTTATTTGCAATTTTTATGTTTGGATTTCTATTCCAAAGTATGGCTATACAGTAAATACGATGTCATATATCCTCTGTTATTGACAATATTGCTTCTACCTGTAACATCCTTGTGCACATTTCCAAGTTCTCAAACACGAGGAACAGTTCTAAGGCACAGGCATGTAAGACAGATTTTTAGCTACTCATGGTTACTTCCATGTTGTTTGTTTCATCCAGAATTAGCAGAGAACAGAATAGTTTCCACATTAAGTGCACTTCTCCATGGTGTTATGGAATAAATGTGCCAGTAAGATAAAAGAAAAAGGAAGTCATAAACGTGCAGCGGTCACCCTGTTTACTGAGGCAGAGAGAAGGAAGAGAGTATGGAGTACAGGAAGACATCACACATTCAGGAGGTCTACGATCAGCTTTTGTGCAGCAGCAGTGTCTAGAATTGCACTGGATGACTGCATGCACGGGCAGCAGCTAACGTGTCCCGTGTGTGTGTCTGCAAGTCGAGTGGTGATGGCTCCCACATGGGAACTTACCCTGTCAAGAGCTGCTTTCTCAAGTTCGGTTTTGGCTACAGCTAACTTTTGTTCCAATTCGGTGAGCTGTTGGGCCTGTAACAGGGAAGAAAGGCAGAACATTTTAGGAAACCCTATAATCTACACACTTGTCCTTTACCAAAAAAAGAATAAAAGAAAGGGAATAGAGCCCGTTAGTTTAATTTAAAATTCAGATTACAAATACAAAGTTAAATAGACATTTGATATGTATGCAGAGAACACTGTGATCTGAATGAACGAGGACTAAAGCCTCATGGGTTGAGTCACCTTGTAAAAACTAAATTCAAACTTTCTTGCATTTTTTTGTAAGTCCTTTCGTCACAGATATTTCTAGTCCTTGGGGACTGAACTGTATCTCCACGCATTCCTGTGTTGATGCCTGACTATCCATTTGAGTTTTACTTTTTTATTTGGTGATAGAACAATTGAGAATATAATGATGTTTAAAGTTCTCTCTCTCTCTCTCTCTCTCTCTCTCTCTCTCTCTCTCTCTGTCTCATAAATATCAAACATTCAATGTGAAGGTACCATCACCAAATCACCAGGACAGTACATGTACTTTCCAAACACCGACTCAAGGAAAATATGAAAATGTTAGTCTAAAGGTTAGAGCTTGACCTATCTGAGGGGCCCCTGGAAGCAGGAACAAGATCTATCCCTGACGCATGAGCTAGCTTGTTAGAGCCCATTCTCTATGATGGGATGCCATGCTCAGCCTTAATGTGGGGTGGGGGAAGGGCTTGGCCCTGCCCCAACTTAATGTGCCAGGCTCTGTGGACTCCCCATGGGAGCTCTTACTAAAGGAGTGGATGGGGGCTGTGCTGGGGTGATGCAAGGGGGGTAGGCAGGAGGAGGAGAGGTTGGAGGGAGAACTTTGGTTGAAATATGAAATGACAATAATAATAATAATAATAATAATAATAATAATAATAATAATAATAAAATGAATGTCTAGTCTTGAGGGCTGTGCAGACATGTTTCAAGTGAGCTGCCCAGTCTGCAAAATCTTTTTGTGGTACTCCAATAGGATTAAAATCACAATGAACGATCTTTTTCTTTACTTTTAAGATTTTACCCCCATGTCACTGTATCTTAGCATGTCTCTGCATTTCTCCCAATGTCATAACTCGGCTCTTCAGTGAAAGTAACAGTGGATTCATAACTGAAAGATGTATATTCTACAAAAAACACCAAGCTAACCGCCATAACATATATGCAGAGGATTGGCGACTAGGACCATGTGTCTCTGACTCTTCTGCCTGCTCTTAGAGCTGTTTTCCTCTTTGGTTGCATTGTCCAGCCTTCACATGAGGGCCTTTGTCTTTTCTTGCTGTATTGTATTTTGTCATATTCAGTTGTTGTCTCTCAGAAGCCTTCTCTTGTCTGAAGGGAAAAGGGGGGAGGTGTGGATCTGGGAGAGAAAGGAGGTTCTATTGGGGATCTGGGAAGTGTGGAGGGAGGGAAAACTGTGGCCAGGATGTATTGTATGAGAGAAAAATCCATTTTCAATAAAAAAGAAAAGAAGAAAGATGTATATTCTAATTTTGCCTTAGCTACATGATCTTGGACAAAACAGTTGACACTTGTAAACAAAGCCGACAGACGTTTCCAGTCGTAAACCCTCACTGTGAAGCTTGGGGGAGTTCATTACCAACAAACACATAGTATTTACCCCACTTCTGCTTCTTAACCCTCTGAGAGTATCCCTTCCAGCTTATTTCTATTTACATTAAGAGCAAGAAACACTAAGTACCTTTATTTCAATTTGTGTTAGTAATGCTGCTGTCTTATTCCCTATTGGGATTAATTCCATCATTTCCTAATATAAGCAACAGTGACCTTGTAACACATACAAGACATGGATTGTGTGCGTGACTATATACTGAGGAAGAAATAATGGCAACGACGAAACGCTTCCCTATCATGTGAGTTAGTTAGCGACAGCTGTTTCCAGGAAAATGGGGAATGCAGGGGTCTACATTAATCCCTGCTTCTCAAGGCTCCTGCCCCTTAGCTGGAGGAATGGTTTGGTGGTGAAGGCTCACTGTTCTTTTAGAGCTGAAGTTCAGTTCCCTTCACCCATGTAAGGTGACTCACAACATCCCATACCTCCATCCCCAGGGGACTCAACACTGGCATCTGGCCTCCATGGGTACCCACACTTACTTGCACATATTCATGTACAGATACGTGAACGTATGTAGAACTTTACAAATAATTCAAACCTTTACAAAATAAAATGATCTCAACCCCTTTGCTCATATAACCCATCCTTCCTCTCCTACACCAGAGCTAGTGGAAGCTCACTGGCTCTAGACGGATAGCTGGGGAGCCTGCACAGGACTGAACTGGGCCCTCTGAATGTGGGTGACAGCTCTGTGGCTTGGGCAGTTCATGGTGGCCACTGGCAGTGGGACTTGGTCCTGCCTCAACTGGGAAAGAGGAGGGGAATAAGGGAGGGAGTGGGAACTGTAGTCAGCACATAAAATGAAAAAAAGAAAACTTTTAAATAAATAAAAAATTAAAAAAAAATAAAATTGAAGAAAAAAAAAATCATTCATGTGTTTGGTCCCGTGTCTTGTAGTTCTTCCTCTCAAGAGAGCGTTTATGTTCTTGATTCTGAATGAGCTCTTTTAGGTTCCGATGCCATCTTTGGCCATTGGAATACAGGAAAGTTCTTGAGAAGCAAAATGAGATGGACATGCAAACTATCTCTCAGAGTGGGGTGGCTCTCCTCACGTCCCCACGGAGAGTCCGAATTGAGATCAAACCCGAGTGAAAACAGGCCAGTGGAAATATACAGCCACGCATGTACCCAGCCAGCATCACTGGCTCCTTGTAAAATGGCTGGTGTAGGTGGTGTCACAGTACAGCTTATTGTGACTTAAGATAGCCAGGTCACTTAGCCAGAGAGTAAACTGGTTAATAAAGTTAATTTTATAAAGTTTACTTAGGAAAACATAATGCACTATAAATTAAAATATGATGCCACCTCGGAAAACCCAGTATTGACTCTGGATGAGCTTTTCATTCTCAGATAGTCATTGACTAATATTTGTGACACGACTAATTTTTTTCCAAGTCTAAAACAAATAAAAGTGAAAAAAAAACCAGAAGAAAAAGCATGCACAATTCAAGTTGCTGTATGAAATTTGAACAGCTAAACCGTGGTTGAGTGTTAGTGACAACTGACAGAAGGAAGACATGTCAGCGTGCCTGAGAGAGAGAGTTAGACAGAAGCACAACCAAACCTTCCATTTTCTCACAGGGTGCGCTTCCCTAGGAGCTGTAAACTTATTTCCTGGACGAGGCCCTGATCCTCTGTGGCCATCTGTAAATACTTGCAAATAAGGGCAAAACTAAGTGGATTTGTTACTGCGTTTGTGCAGGAAGAGTAGAAGAAGAGGTCATGAAGAGAGGGGATGAGGCGAGGAGGGAGTTGGAGAAAGAGAGAAAAGGTCTATAAATGGTGGAAATACAATGTATTTATGTATGACATGCTCAGATAAAGGAAAGGAAACAATGGTTTGGGTACTGACATTAGTATCATTTCTTAATTTCTTTTTCTAAAACTGTGACTTCAAATCTCCCATAAGACACTGAAGTTCTGGCTGTCATTACGCTTGAGAACAAGACTTTCCTAGAAGTCTTTCTCGGGTTTTTTTTTTTTTTTTTTTTTTTTTGTTTTGTTTTGTTTTAAGAATTCACTTTCACGTCAGCTGGGCAATAATGAGTAAAGCAGTTTGATCCTCAATGCACGAGTTGCGATTTTCCCTTCTAAGAGCATAAAGATTGATTGTTGCACACAAGGGCACATTTTATTTGAACTTGCATGGGACTATTTTACAAAATATTTTCACATGACTAAATCTGTGAGAGTTCAGTCTGTCATATGTTAGCATGTAAATCTATGTTTCTGGAAATCTTGTTGATAGGGTTATTTCTATTCACTCCCTATACTTTCCCCCAGGTAACCATAGTCTTGGCTCTGCCTTCTCTAAAAGGCTGCTCTAAAGTGTACACAATGTAAAATGATTTATATGTTTTATGATTTCCTCTGGAAAGTAAAGTAATTTTAACATTGAAGATTATAAGGTTTTAAACACAAATTGAGCATGTTGGGGAGCAAATCAGAAAGAGATACTAATAAAGGGAGCATAACTTTGATCCTTTTGTCGGGTCTGAGCTGTAAATTTGTTTCCACAATTCTAATAGCCAGTTGCTAGTGCCAAGATCCTCATAAATGAAAGAGACACAGAGCATTCAGAGTTGTCCAAGTAATAGATCCTTAGGTAAATTTTTAATAAATGTTAGAATCCTACGCAGGAAATCATTTTTGTTAGTTTGTTTTCTGGCGCCAAGAAAATGAAATCTAGGTCTGTATTTAATCTTAAACAAAAGACAAAATCTAGAATATATTGTATGTGAGTTTGCATGCCATGAGTGTGTGTGTGTGTGCGCGCGCGCGTGCGTGTGTTTTTGTGGTTTCACTGCAGAAATCCTAAGACTGAAGTTCCTTTTGGGGGCATGAACAACACTAACTATACTACCACATTCTGTTGAAGATTAACGAAAATACAAATTAATGGCATGAAACGAATCATCTCAATTATAAGCTAACATCTTTTTTCCTCTGAATCTCAGATCTTCATAGTTAGTGGTACCACATAAGTTGCCTCAAGAAAGAACACAGTATGACGTTAGTTCTCTTTTAAAAATGAAGAGAAATGAGAGAGGTTAATGAAATATCTTGCTTATTATCACGCAGTTGTAGAATTTGAATACAAGCAGATTTAGAATTTGAAAATGTGCATACCGGATCTACAGCTGTACTCATAATCACTGACAATGTTCGTGTACAGAATTCACAACTAAATTATGTGCGTATATTCAATGGCATATGCTCAAAATTCACTGATGTACTATATAATTTGAAATGTTCCAAGAAAAAAAAATAGATGTCTCAGACGTCATGGTGAACCTATGAAAGAGAAGGTTTTTAAGATCACTTAATGAAGTTTTTGGTTGTTTATTTGTGTGCATGCATGTGTGCT